GAAGAATCGACTATAACAATGAGAGAACTTCTACTATAATACTGAGAGGACCTCTACAATAACACTGAGAGAACAATCTACTATAACACTGAGAGAACAATCTACTATCACACTGAGAGAACTTCTACTATAACAATGAGAGAACTTCTACTATAATACTGAGAGGACCTCTACAATAACACTGAGAGAACAATCTACTATAACACTGAGAGAGCAATCTACTATAACACTGAGAGAACTTCTACTATAACACTGAGAAAACTTCTACTAAAACACTGAGAGAACAATCTACTATAACGCTGAGAGAACTTCTCCTATAACACTGAGAGAAATTCTACTATAACACTGAGAGAAATTCTACTATAACACTGATAGAACTTCTACTATAACACTGAGAGAACTTCTACTATAACACTGAGAGAACTTCTCCTATAACATTGAGAGAAATTCTACTATAACACCGCGGGAACTTCTACTATAACACCGCGGGAACTTCTACTATAACACTGCGGGAACTTCTACTATAACACTGAGAGAACCATTAATGATAACGCTGGGAGAATCATATAAAATAATACTGAAATAACTATCTACGGTGACATTAACAAAATCATCTACCATAACACATAGAGAATCATCGTCGATATCACTGACATAACCATCTACGATGACATTGAGAGAATCATCTACCATAACACAAGCGAATGATGATTCTATCTATTCAATACATGTGCACTACAATACTATAAGTATTTGTTACAAATGCGACCAGATAATTACACAATATTAAAATTTTACTGATACTGATCAAAGTGTTCAATATTCTATCAGTGGAAGTTGCTATACAGCATGTGTCATTGACTTATTTTACCTTTGTACAGTAACAGGCTGTCTGCTTACAGTCTGCTGATATTTCAACGATACCAAGAAATGCATTTGTAAGAGGTATTGATAGCAGCTGATATTTCGTGCAATCATCTTTTGACTTAATATTATCAACCACACCTCTTGAATTATTTATAGCAACCTGGAATAAAAACATATCTCTTTAAATGATAACAATGTATTTCTGAAATTTTTTGAATGATGTATGCCCCATTGACACTATGAAATATAATTATGTTAATAGTGACAATTATGTAATCTAAATGAAATGCATATTTTATTTAATTAGCCATTCTTGAATGCACAGATCATAGGAAAGTGTTCTATGTATTGTCTTACAATAACGTATGCTGTATTAACATAGACATTTCTAATTTGGTGAATGACGCTGTGGCTGATTTTTTGATAGGAAATCATCGTAAATCAGTAGAAATTATCTAAATCTGCAATTAATGTTTAGTATCTATTTACCTCAAAGAAAAAATATGTGCTGAATTGTAGCACTCAAACTTTTACAAATAATTTATAGTTGAAACGAATTGTAGACACATATCGAATTATTTATTTACGATATTTCGCTCAAATTTATTAATTATGTGGACAGAAATATACCCAGTCGTTTGATGAAGTGCACACTAGAAAACCGAACCTCATAATAATGCTGACGTTCTATTCCCTGCATATCAATACAGTCTTTGAGAACCATAACTCTTTTGTATATCAGATCCTGTGCTATAGATGGCTCAAGTTGTGTGATGTGTACATCGGATACCTTGGATAATCCATTGAAAAAATCTTGATGAACAACAAAGTAGCCATTGTTGTCAACAACAAAACACCTTGAAAATAAAGTGAGATAAGATCAAAATTAGATATTACTGTAAATGAAAATATTGTGTAAATAACTCAGTGCATGCCGATGTAAGGTGACGACTAGGGGCAATTTCAAAATGAATTCATCTATATTTACACCAGTGTCGGTACAACTGAAATTGTATATGTACACTGTAAACTCGAATATGGAAACAAATAGATTTTGTAACATTATATCCTTTGCTTGATCGATTATGCGACGACGAATACTGTTATGCAAATCGTAATTGCAATCACATTAGATCCATCTTTATAGCTCCTTGAAAGATAATAACAAAAACATTGAATTCTGTAATGACTACTTTTGTTTTAAATACAGCAACAATTAAAGGACATTACTGAAACGAGTCTGTAATTTGATGCCAAAACAGAGTGCTCATCGTCATTGCTGAAATAAACGGGGGGCGTCGACGATCAGCTAAGGGAACAGTGTTACAAAACATGTACGTATTTGTTCTATATCAAATCCTTCAGAATATACATCGACTGTGATTGTTATGTACTTATAAATAAATCAGCAAATATCGTTGCTCAGTATGGTAACGTGTAGTGGGGTATGACTAGTATATGTTTCTTAATTTAATTAACAAAATATTCTGAATATAATGAATTGTTTTGCATTTAGTGTGAGACCTAATTGAATGACTATAATTTATTGTATAACTGTAATGTTCACCTGTATTTATCTTGCATACATTGTGAATAGGACATAGTGAGTAGACGGTAGAAGTATGTCAAGGTCAAATCCAAGCCCATAACACCAATTACTTCATCGGATGTTGCATGATGGGATTGATTTCTGTAATCGAAAAATACATAGTATTATGGTCAGAGTTTAGCAAAGGCTGAATGGGTATTGTCGTGATGTAAATACGATTTGGACTTAATGTTCTGAATCCTATATATCTATTATCATAATATATTTTTGAATCCAGTCTTATAATATTTGATGAATCCAGCCATTCGATTGGCTGAAATCTCATATCTGATAATAGAAGATCTGAGTTTCTGCTCCGAAACTGAATAAACTGGTTTGATTATGTAACTGAATCAAGATTATAAAATATGCGATTTTTGTAACGGCGCCGCGCTATAATTTCATCCTACTGAAATTCAGTATACATGTGAACATGAACTTACCCGCCAATAAGAGTGTGACTTAGAGTTATCACGTGATTAGGTCCGCCTCCTGGTGAATACGGTGTGGACAATGTTGTCAGACCTTTGTTACTTTTAGCCCGGATATACCTGCAAAGTGTGTAATATAGAACAACTCATAGAACTACTGAACAATTATCGTTAATGCCTGTCGGAGTGAAATCACATAATTACAAGTCCAAGTTGTCAATCAAAATCTTTTGGTGTATTTCATTTCAATAAAATGAGTGTTTTATATCACGAATGTATTTATATGTATCGAACGTGATGACGTCATGTGGTTTTCTTATTATTTACAACAGGGTTGTTTGATACTAGTGCTATACAACAAAACAAAAATGTATGATCCAACACTAAATACACATTACCATGGTCTTGTAGTAGGATCGTACTTTTTCTTGAGTTTCACGCCGGGATACATTCTGAATACACCGTCATATGTACCAATGTAACGAAGTAAGGTGTATAGTTCAATACCGCTGACGTCATTCACCCAGATATCGTCTACAACGTGTGTACCAACTACGGTGTCTTTGATACCATCCTTTCATGTAATATAACAGATAAAGTGAATAAATTATGTCAATGATCATTTCCGACAATCAACCAAACCCATTCATTTTATTCGGTGTTATTTACTTGCTTTAATTCCAATGTAAGCAGCTACAACAGTCAATTTACTGAAAGTATGAATGATTTTATGAAAATATTTTAAAGAACCCTTTGCCTTATTTAATTATGAAAAATACGCTTTGATTGGTTGATGGTTATTGTCGGTTTCATTTAATTATTTGCTGATGTACTGCAATGCATCCGATAACGCACTGTGATTGTTCAAGTTGTTTTCAACCATCCGTCCATGTAGTGTATTCCAAATAGTGTACATACTTTAAAAAAATGGTTTACTGCTGTCCCCGTGTTGTCGTTCATGTAATTACTGTAACTGTTAACAATATATTCTTGTTCTTCTATTTCAAGGTATTGTGCGGGGTCTAGAAAAGCCTCCGGTCCAAATTTGACAGCGGATTGCTCTACAAAACAAATATAGCTGCATTATAGTAAAATATACACTAGTCATGGATAACAGTGCAATGTCCAAGACATATCACGAGTAGTACATCGCCTATTGCTAATAGCGCAATTGAAAAGAAAAGAAAACAATGCTTGTCCCTGCAAAACCAGCAGTCGTCTGAAAAAAGAAAACCTTGTAGGTACGCAATACATTGACATATATTGATGTTTTGTCTTTACCACACAGTATACTCAGAAAAAAGTGATAAAGTTATATATCTGTTAACTGAAGATCAAGACCAAAATGACACGAATAACATTCTTCTGAACTTACGGGAAATCGATCCTAGCGCCATTCTACAAAACATTGACGCCACTCACCGTGTTATATAGAAAATATATAGAAATTATATAAAGAACTTGTATTAAAAGAACTTGTACATTTCTATATTAAAATCATATATCCTTAAATTTGTATTATGCTATCACAAGCAATTAATAACCCAAAACATATATTGAGTACATTTGTCAATTTAACCAAAAAACACCCATCAAAGAGCCCTCACTTTTCACTCTAATTCATTTTCCGTAACTTGTATTTACCGGAATCCGTAAGAGTCCATCAATTCCAAAAGTGAAGTCAGAAAACTAATTTTAAAAATGAGGGAACCTAATTAAAAAAAAACGTTATTGTTTAGTAATTAGTAATCATTCTTATAATAAGATATCCAAAATCCGTTCATCCATCTTCTTTGAATTAATTGAATCAATAGAACAAGACTGGTGTCCGTTTATAAGTTTTCATATTATACATTTATAAAAAAAAGACGGGACGCTTGATTGAACCCCATAGTATTTATCTAGTTTTTCCTATATAAAAACACACATAAAAGTAAATACTGTGAGTAGCACAAATTTGTAAGAAATTATTGCATTATTATTATTGTTTAGCCATGGACTCTTGAAGACAGTTAACATCTAAATGCGATGTATGATCATCTTTCAATTTGTTGGGCAAACCTTTGATGTTCTAACTGCCAAATTTGAATGAAGTTTAAAGTCTGTGCTATAACACCAACACTAAATCTGCGAAAAAATAAGGTTATAGAAAATTAAATTACATGTAGCTGGTCGTAGTGAGGCCATAACAAAAAGAAAATAATGAAAAGTGTGTTCAGAAATTTTGTGAACTTCGTGGAGAGAGTTTTTGAATCTAGGTCCGACGAGTGCAATTGTCTCCTTAGAGTCGTTTGAGAAGTAACCAGCGGGTGACAGTCGATTGAAGGCGGTTTTGCTGTTTTTCTCATGATTCCAAGTTGTTGAATTACGACGATTACGTTAGAAATATGGCCTGGCAGATGGCTTGTTGAAGTCACGATGAAATTGTCCGAGATGATAATTGCGTGATTGATCTCCAATATTGTTCAATATTAGCGTCTAGTCTGGTTGATTATGTGAACACCAACTTTCATGGTGTACATGATTATCGTTAAACTGTGTGTACTATGGTAGTTAAATTGTTTTACCTTTAGTCGCATTCCTTCCAAAATGAATGCAAATAGAAGTCGGTTTAACCAGATCCATGCGGTGATAGAGAAATACAGAATCTGGAATGGAACAAAAACTGTACCACGTGACTATGGTATTAGATATTACATGACGCATTTCTGAATATTGGTTGATGCAAATATTATCGCTAATACAGATTGCAAACAATGCAGATAAATTGTAATTTTTAATGCTTACAAATTATATGTTAATTTATTCATTGCTACCAAGCGCGCACTAGATGATGTGATGGTAATGACAATGATAAATATAGCTGCAAGCAGCATTGATCGGTTTGGTTCTATAGACTATTCAACCCACATTTCTACAAATATGCCAGCGGTTACTAAGAACATATTTGCATGGGTTTGGTCATGATTGCTAAGGCATAATGGCATGACAAATAGGTTGTCCCAAAACATATACACACTAAATATAAAGAAAACGGTCATTTAGATAAAAGTGTGAAAAGGACTTTTCCCTGAAATCCATTCATTTTTTATGATTGTTTTAATTTCGGCTATTCGGTATAAAGATACGTAATGAATATGCTTGTGGTCGG